ATGAATTAATATTTCAATACCTTTCATAGGGCCATGGCTTGAACTGGTGTGCTTTACTACTGCATGAACACTATCCAGATCTACTGGCATTTAAATAATAGTGGCAAATTGTTTGACCATTTTCTTCTGTTAAATTTCAACTAGGTTTTCCAATAAATCATTGACTAATGCTTTTTCTTCATTATTTGGTTAGCTGAATAGCCAGCTGAACAATATTCATCAGACAAATTACTTACTTTTTCCCATTCAATCTGCAAATAATTTATTGACAAATACTTTTTACATGAGGCAGCCAGCTCTAGCCAGGACAAATCAAGGTAATTTCCTACTCTTTTGATCAAATGCCAGTAAGACTTTATCTTGGACAGCTCAATAAAGGCAGGTTTTAATGCATAATACATAATGGGTAAGCTGAGGTTTTCACAGTCCTTTGTGAGCTCTCTGCTATCGCCCATATTTCTCAGTAGTTCAACTGAGAGAGGAATGACAGGGGGACATATATTTTCCATCCAGGAATGCTCAGACACATTTCACAAAGCCAGCTCTACAGCTCTGAGGGTGTAGGGCTCACATTAGCCACAGCCATGACGGGGCAGCCCCTTGGCTGGAACACGCAAACTGCTTAACAGAGCAGCAGTAGAGGAGAGGAAATGAAGATGAGTACTGTCCCCGCTCCAAAACACAAACAAAACTTAGAGGCAGAATAAAATCAAGCAATGTGGAATTTGGCCAGTATGCTGGGGATAATGTCTCTTGCCCTTGAGAAAAGAGTCTTTAATGAGTAGTCAAGACACAAGATGGCACATCCCCATGTAGACATCTCCAGGACAACGTTCACACTGTGGTTCCTTTTCCCCAGCATTCTCATGAAAGCCATTTGGAAGCCGCTGACAATCCCTTCCTGCCCTTAGTGGTTGTCATATTGCTGACAGAGCTGATGAGCATGGCCTTATCTGCCTGCATGCCTGCCCCTCTCTTTTGCTGGAGAGAGCTTAAGGCTACACACCAGCAGCAAGGGGCCTCAAGTAAATAGGGCCAGCAGCAAGGGGCCTCAAGTAAATAGGGCAATAGGGCCAAAAGATTTCTCCCCTGATTAAGGTTTGCAGCCAGCAATCTGCACTGCATGTTAGCAGTGCTTTTGCAGCCTCTGCCCCTGAACACGGTCCTGGATCCTTACCAGGGTGGATCCTTCTGCTGTTGGTTGGAGATGCAAGTGGCTTCTGAATGCGGTTTACCTTTGCACTCCATGCTGCATGCAGGCCTGCTATGCAGTTGTCTCACCTTTGTCTTCTGCTGCTCAGGCAACAAAGTGGTGAGAACGAGCCATTTATACCTGTGTGAAGTGAAACTTTGCAACAGCAAGCAAATACATATTGGAGGAGTGGCACAAAAAGGGAGTGGTTGCATACGGGTTTCTGTAGGATCAGTGTGCGTTCATGCACATATGTGCATGTATAATAATATGTCTAATACAATACTTTAATCTTCATTCTTCCTTGAGAGTCAGTTGGTTAATCTAGTTACTCCCAAATGAGACGCCTTCACCCTTTGCTTTATGCAGAAATCTAGATATGATGAAATACAGGCAAATATTTCTGCAACATCATCAATAAATGAATTATATGTGGTATCTACTCAAAACAACAACATGCTAAACACTGAAAGTCAAATGGGATACCTTTCTGAGAAACCAACAACTGACCACATATTTACTCTGCATCTAACGAATAAACATGGTGAAAGCACAAAAACAGAGGAAAATATTTATCCTGACTTTATACTTGGAGAAAGCTTTTGACTCAGTCTGGCTCTCGTAGCTGAGCTATGCAAAATGGAACTGGCAAGGGGAAAAAAATGACATAATCACATACATGTAACAATCCATTGAAAGTAGGACACACAAAAAAGAAGAAAACAGGCTTTAAAGGAGATGGTGGACTAACACAGCGGCCAGCTTCATGCCTGCTCTTTCTGTCATCTATGATGGAGATTTATCAGCCTCAGAGAAACAGTTCTCAAACTGAATGAGGGATCTCAAGCACCTGCTTAAACTGTCACAATACTACAAAATGTATTTTAACACACCCTGCTGCAAGGCCATGTAGTGAGGAAGGAAGAACATCGGTGATGAATGGCAGGATAAAGATGCTCTCTTAGAAAACACAGATGCAGAGAGACAGTTGGAAATTCAACATGGGTAATGGACTCCACAAGGGTTTTGTGCAGTGTAGGCAGTTAATGGTCTAATTCCATTTTTATAGATGTGAGAGGGAAACCAAACAACGACTGAGAGACGATTTTTACTTTGTGCACAGCATGTGTGTATAGAACACAATGACACTGTATCTAGGGTGGGTGCCTGTGAGTCAAAAAGCGCTTAGAAACATTGGAGAGTGAAAAATGCTTCAGTGGCTGGAACTGAATCTTACAGTGTGAGGCTTCAAAGGAAACACTCTATTCAGTTTAACACATATACCACCATGTATAGTTACTTACCCATGAAAATGGAGAGGTTACAGTTTTTAGGCAAAGGCATAACAAGTCCTGATGTCTCAAAGTTGGATGAATTCAGCCATAAAGGAAGCATTTTCCTGGCAGCAAGAATAACTACATTGGAATAAATTAGTAAGTAGAGTAAGGCACTTGCCATTACTTGGAGTCTAAGACAAGATGTGCTGTCTTTCAAACTCACTTTGATACAGCTGCTGCAAAAAAGAAAATCTATGGCTTCTGTGTATGGGTCAGATTAACGAGTTACAGTGGTCCCTTCTGGCACTTGCTGAGAACATCACACACCATAGCTCAGAATAGCAGAGATTTACCTATTCTTTTCACCAGTGTAACTAACTGTGGAGTAGTGGCGAAGTAGATGCTGGTATCTATCAGTTACAGTAAAAGCAACAGGGTATTCAAAATGGGACAATCGTGAGAAAAAATTTTCCAAGGACATAATGAAAATCATCATGTCACTGCTGTACTTTTCAGCATTGTAATTCATGTCCTGGATCAGTGTTCCTCAACTAGCAACAGAGCACAGGAAATAAGAAGTACAAAAAAAAATGTGGACTGGAGGTCTGCAAAATCAGTGGCCTTGTGCACACAGTAAAGTTTGCATCCATGACTGCATCCATGTGTATGTATCAGGATCACTGCTGCCAGGCTTTAGAGGCACAAGGGGATGTATTTTCAGCATGAGAGTTTGATGAAGGTGCAGCAGTTTAACCAGCATGATGGAAGGTGACCAGTGAGAGATGTTCTAACCTGTTTTCTGAATTTTGCGTAAGGGACATGGCTTAGTTTAGAGAAGTGATGTTTTTCAGTGAAGGAAAGGTGTATTTGAATGCTGGCCAAAGGAGGAGGTAGAGCAGAAAGACTGGAAACAGGCAGCAAGAACAAACAGGCACAGGAGGGTATTGTAAACACAGGTGAAGAAAGTCTTGTTTTGTTTGGGCAGCCCTTTCTCAGCCATGCTTACGGATTCAGCCTCATTTCCAGTTTGGCAGCTAGGAGAACTTCAGTGTGGACAGGACTAAGTGGCCCGCAGGTACCTCATGGCTGCAGTTCTGCAAAGAGATCTACTGTGTACAGGAACTTGGGTAATTGTAGTTGGAGGGTGAAAGTTCTCATCATCAATTTTAGGAGGGTCTTTTTTCATTCCTACAAGGCAGCTCTCTCTACTGCAAAGCGTTACAGAATGAGTAACAAAGGCCAAACTAAAATCCAGTCTGATAATCATGCTCAGTTGTGAACACAGCACACACTTCCTGCTAGTGGAAGTCAAACAACCTCACCCAAGCCAAGGCATACTCAAGACCAAGGTGCGCCAAAGACTCTAGAATAAATCCTAAACCAGCCATTTTGTGTGGGAGCAGCAGCCCAGAACTGCATAGGCTCTGGAGATTCCCCACTCACAGAAACGGTGTAACACAGACTCAGCTCCACCAACAACAGAACTGATAGCCTGAAGGGAGCCTAGGCAGCAAAGTGCACAACCCACATGAGGAGAGTGCTGATTTACAGTTAAGGGGAATGAAGCAGCAGATAACTGGCTGAGTTACTAGAGAGAAGGCCAGTGTCTCAGTTCTTTGTTTTTACAAACAGGAAATTAAATCCCCGAGCAAACAAAAATTTCTTGTTAACAGGCCAGGAAAAAACGGTGGTGCAGCGGTGACAAGAATCCCGTGTGGCAGCAGCCCTTTGCCGAGTTAACGTTGGGAAGGCAAGCAGGAGAAAAGAAACCTTGTCCTAAACAGGGCAGCGCTGCTTGTCTGCAAGAGTGACCCTATCCCCTGCTTGGGGCAGAGGGCATCCATGCTGCCTCTGTGGTCCCTGTCCTAACCCAGGATGTGCAGGGCAGGGACAAAGGTGGTGGGGTTTGAGTCTATGCCTGCATGAGTGGGGCCACAAGCTGATCCTCCAGTTAAGGCTGTGAGATCACGTGTAGGGAACCTCCGTGTTTGGGCTGTGCTGGGATCAACAGGCACCCCTCGGCTACGGTTTGCGTGGAGATAGATGGGGGTGATCCCCCATGCCTGTGTTGCGGTTCCGTGTGGGGGAACACTGGGCTGCGGATGTGTCCGTGAGGAAAGCGGCCCTCAGCCGATCCCTGTGCCGAGGGTACCCGCTTAGGGTGGGGGGGCACAGCGGACACGAGGAGACCTCACCCCGGAGCGGCAGGGCCGGCGGAAGAGTGCAGCAGGGCAGGAGCGGCGCCGTGGAGTCCCCGCGAGCTAGCAGGGCCCAACGGCTGGTCCCCAGCGCCGGCAGCGAGGAGCCCAGCTCCAAGACCTCTCCCCTCCCCCGCGCCCGGGGGCTGTCCCGGGCCACGTGTGCGTCGTAGCCCCAGGAGGCCGGGAGACGCGGAGCCGCTAGGTGAGGAGCTCCCCGCACCGCGGAGCCTGCTCCGCTCCGCTCCGCTCCCATCCCTTCCCATTCCTTCCCCTCTCTGGGTGTGTGGGCCAAGCCGGACCGGACCCCCGCGCCTCCCCCGGTACCTGCAGGAGGGGGCGGGCGCTGGAGAAAGTTTGTCTCTGTGGTTGGCTGCGCCGCGCGGCGCGGCCAGTCGGGGCGGGCGGGCGGCTCCGTGTGCTCGCAGGGCGGCGGGACGCGAGCTGTTGGCCGAAGAGCACGCTGCCGGCGGTCCTGCTCGCGCAGGAAGAGGCACCCGCGTAATCCTGCCAGCATGGGTCACCGCGGGCTCAAGGCGTCCTGCCTGCTTCTCTTCGTTCTCCTGCTGCTGCTCGGTGAGCCCGCAGGCTGCGCGACCGGGGCGGCGGGGGGGAGGGGCGGGTTGTGCTCGGACACCTTACCCTCAGGTAGTGGGGGAGACCCATGCCCGCGGACACGGGCCCCTTGGCGCGGGGCGGGGGATCGCCCGCCGTGCTGTGCCTGCCTGGGGCGCGGCGGAGCGCAGCCAGGCGCTGCCTTCCGAGGGGTGGCGAGGCCGGGCGAGGCCGTGCCCAGCCCCGCTGGCCGGGCCGCCGCCTTCGCCCTCTCTTGACTCCCCGGTGGCATTAACGGCCGGTGCAGCCCTAACGGCTCCGCATTCCCTCGGCTCCCGGTGCTCCTTCCAAGGCCGGGGCGCGGACTGCTGCCGCGTATTCCAGGAACTTCAAGGGGGATGGGGCGCGGGGCATGCTGCTTGCCGCTTTTCCCCGGTGAGAGGGGTTGCCACAGGCGGCCGGGGTGACGTGACGGTGTGGCCGTAGCGAGCAGCACGCGACCCGGTGCATGGGCTGTGGTGGCTGCAAGGTAAGGGCAGTGAAATTTCACCTCGCAGGGCGTGAAGTGACCGGTTTCAGGGCCGAGGGGGAGATCCTTTTCCTGTCTTTCTCCCGGCCTCGAGGGAAGCTGCAGGATGGGCCCCCACAGGTGGCAACGGGAGCCCGGGTTCTTGGGGCACCCCGGTGTTGAGGGGGGAAGAGATACTTGTGCACCCTCTCCTCCTGGCTCTTGGGGTTTGCTGCCTCTGCTGTGAAGTTCTGCGAAGAGATAGTGAGTAATTGTGTAGGTGATGCTTTATGGCGTGTTCACATAATTGTGTAGCTGTCGTTAGTTTAATGTGGTGTTATTCCTTACTGGTGTTAATGCCAGGCAGGCGGTGTGCAGAAATAAAGACACTATAGCAAGAACGACACAAAAGGGTGAATGGTGGGTTTTGTCTTTTAGCTCTTCCCCCTCCTCACACACGTACTACCCCCCTTTTTCTAACATTGACTTGTAGCATTGTTGTTAACAGTGTTACTGAAGTAGCAGTATGTTTAACTAGAGAACCAGAAGGTTGTTCAGCTAAGATAGTTATGTGTAGTACTTCAGTGGTTCCGTGTGGTCGGGAGTACTTTAGGTGCTGGTGAGCAAGCATGCCCCACAAATTACTACATGCAGTTCTCGATTCAGCACTTGCAGGTAGTAAGTGGGAGCCTTTTCCAGATTTAGGGTGAAATGGGTAACAGTGCCCCAGCCCCATGCTGCAATGCTTTTCAAAAAAAACCTGTATTTACTGACTTAGTTTCTGCTTATATAACTAATTTTTGTTTTAAAGCCTGCCAGAGCACTTTCCTCATGGTTTGGCTGTTGAGTCTTTCATAGCCAGGTCTGCAAAGCAGATAGTTACAGTTGAAAAGTCAGTTTCCTAAAGCTAGCTTACCCTAGTCTCTTTGCTGAGGCTGCTTGCAGGCATTGAGGCAATTGGGGCAGATGGGTGTCTATCTACAAGTCAAGATTCTACCACACGAAGGTGTCCCCTGTGCTTTCCTTTACTTGCAGCTACCAGTCATCTAATGTATCTGTACAATACAGGCATTTTGCCAGCTGGGGAAACAGTGAAGAACTGTAGAGAGCACCTTTAGTGTTTCTGTTCAGAAACAGAAAAGGAATACGTTTTTTTTCAAGAGAATAGTTTAGTAGGACAAGCGGAAAATCAGGGCTCTCAGGTACTCAAGGTCATGCAGCAAAAAAGTAAGAACTGTTAAAGGATGATGTACAGCAGGAAAGTTGTTACCTTGTTAATTCCAGGTAAAATAATTAGAAGAATTTAAACTGTGCATGCACAGGTATCTGAACACTGTTCATGATATGGTTTGTCTGGGTGTTCTGAGTTGCCTTTTGGAGATATATGAAACCTGTGCTGTTAAAATTGAAAATGCTTTTGTGTGCAGGAGAAAAGAAAAACAACCTAAACTTTTCAGTCTTACTTGTGGTGAGGCTATCTTTTATGATTACCATTACTTGGTAGCTTCTGTGAGGTGTTCAAAGTGTAAGAGGTTGAGAAAATAGTGTTCCTCTCACTTTGGATGTGAAAAGTATTCTTCTGTGAACATGTGTTTTCAAGGAGCTTTTTAATAGAGAGCCATGTTGGAGCTTTTTGTTAACTAATGTGCTGCAAGTGTTGAATTCTTGTATAAAGGGTGGTGGAGGGAAGGAGTTGAAGCATACAAGAGTTAGTCGCTTGTGTATACTTAAGACTTGATTGTTTTGTTCAGGTCTTTATGAAATATCCCAGCAAAAGGATGCAGATGGCTGAAGTATCTGACTGTGACAAATAAGAATATTTTCTCATCCTTTTTCCTGGATCCAGTACAGTTATAATCTGCTTGGTAAGGAGATTATGTATCCTGAGATTAAGTCTTGATCTAGACTCTTTTTTTCCCTCTGGTGTGGTTAGATCCTGAGAAGAAAGGGCAGCATCAGATCATTTGTACTGCTGTTGCTTGTTTATTATGATTTCATTCTGCAGTCAATGTATCTTATCTTGTGAAATGCTCTGGAAACCAAAACAACCCTTCTAGGACAAAACATCCAAAACCAAACAGGTATCTGGTGATTACCAAGTCTCAGGCTCTAAAGTAAAGAGTAAGCCCTACAGCTACTTGATTATCCCCCCCCCCCCCCCCCCTCTCCCGCGGTTGAAGTAAGAATTTCAGTGTATCTGAAAAAAAGCTTTTTTTGTTTAAGTGCTGTGGGGCTTGAGGAGAGCAGGCACTCAATAGATCCTGGTGGAAAACCATTGAATATGAGTTTCCCAGAGATGGCCTTTTTCTTGCTACTATTTAGACCTGTGTGACACTTGCTGTCCACTGTGATGAAAGTCAGTTCCAGCATGCCAGATCCCCAGGAGTCTTGTGTTTACATGAATAGAGTTGTTTCCTACAACTCATATCTGAAATTCTTTGTTGTTTTTGTGTTTTCTCTTTTTTTCTTGTCCCCAGAAGCTTCAACATTTAGGCCTTTGAATCAAGGTTTAATTCAGGCTCTAACATAGAGAGCTTTCAGTAATTAACATAAGTTATTGTGATCAGGAACTTCAAGGAAAAGTGTGCTTTAGTCTTTCCCTGCATTTGCAGCTGAAGTGAAAGCATTAGAGAATAGGAGATCCTCAAGGTTTAGGGCAAGGGGCTGGTAGCCCAAGGTGTGTTAGAGGGGAATCTTTTTCCTGTTCCCTTGCTGATGCTTGCTCCCTTGCCCATGAATCCAGGACTGGTGCTGGTGGCCTATGCCTTCTGTTGGAAGAAGGCAGGCTCAGTTCCACATTGGTACTCAGAGGAAAAGCTGTCAGCTAGGCCTGCCTATCTCTGTTGTAGCTTTAAAAGTGGTTGAAAAGGCTCCCAAAGGCGAAATACCAGCAAGCCTGTCCTGTTTTTAACAGCTGTGGACTGCTAAGGCACTAAAAGCATATATTGAGTGTTGGAACTGGGTTGGTGAGGCATTGAAGGGCAGGTGGTGTTGCTGAGGAGCAAGCGCTTTCCATGTTGTTTTGCTGTACTGATATATTTCTTAGCATGTTGTCTGTGGGAAGATGTGGGAACCAAAGGGAGAGCAGTGTTGGGACCTATTTTTTCCTTGCATCCTGTGTTCTTTTGGGTTGGCAAATGATAGCTTAGTCACCTTTTTAGGCTCTCTTGCGCATTTGTAGGTTCTTTTTCAAGGCTCCTTTTTAGGGAGTCCGAGTGCTTTTCCTGAAAGCCTTCTACCTCTTCTCCAGGTTTCTCAGTTCTTATGTTTCAGCACAGCAACAGCTTGCTCTCTTTAGGTAGCCTCTGTTATATTTGGCTGTAATCCCTGAACTGTGGTACAAACCTGCCTGAACAAGATCTGAAGTAAGCGGTAGGGGTCATTTAAAAATGCAGCCATATGCTTGATTGGAGGGGAATGTACTTAAGGAATAATATATGTCCATCCACCTAGCTATATAAACAAACATTCAGGGACATTTGAGGTTTCAGCTTTCACATCTAATAAGTTCATGAGTTGATTTGCTTTTGTGCAGTTTTTTTATTTGTTGTTGGGTTGTTTTTTCCAGTCTGCATAATCTTTGTCAAACACTTCCCTGCAAAACAGACCTCTATATTTAATAGGGAAAAGGTTACATATCTCAATAAGATAATTCTAGAATGTGAATATTTAAATTGTCTGGTTTTAGATGCCTTTCACTGATACATATTTTTGTGTGTGCTTCTAGATCTGTCTTTTAAAAGTAAGGAAAATGGACACATTATCTGCACATGGAAATTCTTTTTGGTTATGTATATATATATACATAGATATCAGTCACTTGAAAGTTAAGTTAGAAAGATCTTCAGGAAGACATTACTGATATGAGCTGGGTCAAAGCAGGGGTTAAGTCAGTGTCTACCAAAGTTTCTAGTAGTTTGAAAAGAAAAATATTAGGTGGTGTGTAAAGTAAGTACCTATATCATAACGCAAAGAAAAAATATTTTTAATACTTTGCTTTTGACATTTATAGGAGATGTTTAAGTTAATTGCCAGGCCCCTGCTCAACATCCTGCTTTCTTAGAAGTACTGCAGTAGTAAGCAGTAAGTTTCAGACCAAACTGCTTTTGGGATAGGATGATATGAAAAGTAGCTGCTCGAATGCCGGAAGACTTGAATAATGCCTTTCCAGAACATTGGCATTTCTGGAATAAGAATCAAGATGGAAGGTATGGAACTTTAAGAAGTTTCTTCATATTTTGAGTTTCGTATCAGAAACTGGCTTATTCATTTACATTAAAGTTTTCATAATTCTAAAACATAACTAAATTCTTCTAGCTGAGACAGAAAAAATTGATGGTCTTTTTTTTTAACTCTGGAGTTGGAAGACGTTTCAAAGCTGGGTTTCCAGTGGAAATCATTATCACTTAAACTTGGTCAGAATGCTCAGTTAAAAGTGAGCTAGATAGAAGGTAGAACCAGCATTGCTAAATACCTTTGCTGAGTCTTGTGAAGTTGTAAAGGAGTATGGTAA